CTACCCATCTATTTTCCTCAATGTGGCCTAGATTACCTCTTGAAGAAGGCTTCTGCTTCTCTTCCCCTTGCCAGAGATAATGAGGGTGGAGTTGTGTTCAGCTTGGCTTCTTTACAGTGCACCACCCATCTCTCTTCCCATTTTTAAGATGTTCTATTGTTAACTTTGTGGTTTATAAAGCTCTTCCTCTCGCTGGAATAATTATTTTATTCTCACTCTTCATTAGGTCACACAGCTGCTAGTCTATCATTTCTTCAGAAGACTGGGTATACATTTTTATTCTATATAGTTATCAATTGGTATGATTTGTCTCCTTCGGAATTGGGCTGCTTTTTTGCTGTTGTTATCTGAGTTTTTATATATTCTGGATACTAGATTCCTTTTTTTCTTATTTATTTATTGATTGATCGATTAGTTTATCAAAACAGAGTTATTCTGTGTAGCTTTGGAACCTGTCCTGGAATTCACTCTGTAGACCAGGCTGGCCTCAAATTCAGAGTTCCGCCTGCCTCTGCTTCCCAAGTGCTGGGATTAAAGGCATGTGCCACCATTGCCTGGCTGGATACTAGATTCTTAGATAAAGCATTTGTAAAGCTTTCTGAGCTTTCATTTTTTATTTTGAGTTTTCTTTTTTTATATTTTTAATCTACATTTCTAAATTTTCATCAGGTCCAACAACTATTTTTTGTGATTTTTCTAAAATGTCACTGCTAACACCAAAGTCATAGAGATTTACTGATGTTTTAACATTTTAATAGTTACAAATTCTTATATTTAAATCTTTAACACATTATTAGTTAGCACTCATGCATGCTATGGGGTGGGGTCCAGCTTCATTATCCTGTGCAGATATTAGTTGTCAAATCACCAGTTGTTAAAAGGACTATGCTTTCTCCCATTCAATTGTCTTGTCATTTCTGTTAAAAATCACTTCACCATATACATATGCATTTATTTCTGGAGTCCATCCTATTCACTGTTAGTGGAGAATAGTACTTGAAGTCCAGCAACTTGGTGGCAGGTGTGCTCATTAGCTACTGAAGTGCCATTTCTATTCCCCCTCAATGCTTAGAGGTAAGAATTGGAGGTATACAGGTACACCACTCATTCTCTCAATTGACACATGCAATTCCCTTTTAAAGCAATCATATCAACTTTCTATTTCCATTTAACATCATGGGGGTAATTTTACTCTTCTTTTTTACGTATCTGTAAAAAAATGTCTCAAGCATGAAAAAGCTTGCTTCAATTTCCCTCAACGCATTTACTTATTTGCTCAATTATTTTATTTAATGTAAGAGATCATTGTCTCTTTATTGTGAGGGTACTGACACAGGACAACTTTCACTAGATCTTGATCCTGCCCTGCTACAAAGATAAGAACTCTTAGGCCTTCATGAAGTAATCCTAGCCACTAGGCACCATGCATTCCTCCTCATACATATCTATTCTATACATTCTAATCAACTCTGATTAGATTACAAAAAAATCCAAATTGTTATAACTCTGTCCCAATACAAACAGTTAAAAAGGTGACAGAGATATTGAGGTTGCCTGCTTGGATTCCAGTTTGTGCATATGGATGTTCCCCTTCAGTGAGGTAAGAAAGTAAAAAAGAATATAGGTTGAACCATAAACATATTAAATTTAGATTTATCAAATTCAACGTGGTAATAAGACTGCTTAATGGAAATATATAATGGGTAGCTAGAAATCTAAGTCTGGAATTCAGACAGGTGTAGAGAGAGAAATGGATTTGCTTGTAACTGCATGGAGAGGGATATGAATGAATTTTTAGAGGGGACAGATAGGGTATAGAAAATAACACAATACATGATAACAAAGTGGTAAATTTGGAAGAAGGACCAACTGTGTCAAGCCACAGGTTTATTAATGGCAGTTTTCAAAAAAAAATAAATAAAAGAATATGAGTTTGACTATGTGGAGGTTATCAGTAACTTTAGGAGGAATGGATTCAAAGGCAGTGTAGACAAGCTCAGAATGCAGGTTCCAAGTATAGGAAATAAGGAAGCAGTCAGGCATGGTGTTTTATGTCTGTAATCTTAGCATTCGGGAGACAGAGGCAAGAAAACTTCTAGTTTGAGGCCAACGTGAGCTGTAGCATAAGACCCTATCTCAAGACAAGCTTAAAAAAAAGGAGAACACACCTATCTAAACAAGTACCTTTTGTTCCAATCAGTTTTGATTGTGATTGAAAAGGCAGAAGGGATACAAGGCTGTGTATTGGAATGCAATATTTTGTGTAAAGGTAAACTACTTAGGTGTAATTGGGAAAATAATCACATCTCATGCAGATCATTGTTCTTTCTGATGATCAACATTTTTAAAATATGAACACTGAAAAGTAACCTTCATGGTCTACTATAATCTCATTTTACCTATGAAAATGAAACAAACATGTATTCATAGTTGGCCTAATATACAAATCATTTTATTTCCCCCTCCGAGGTCTTCTTTATATTACCTTCCCTCCTCCCCCCCTTTTTTTCTGAGACAAGGTTTAGGCCAACTGGCTGGCTCTAAACTTGTGATAAGTCTCCCACCTCAACCTCCTGAGTTCTAGGATTACAGGCACGTGCCACTACACATGGCTTATCAATCAGTCTTATTTCATAAGAACCTTACTTCTTATTATTTAAACCTACAAATTTTTATTTTGCAATAATTATAGACTTACCAGAAATTGTGAAAAATAGTACATAATCCCACGTACCCTTTACCCAATTTGTCCTACTTGTAAGATCTTTTACAACTATAGAACTTCAAAACCAATATTATGGTAATGGTATAATACTGAGGAGTAGGCTACAGACGTTATTCACTTCTACCAGATTTAACATGTACTGATTTTTATGTATATAAATCTGTAAAATGCTAGCACAGGAACAGATTTATGTACTAAACACTAAATTTAAGATACAAAACTGTTTCATCAGCCTAAATGAACTCTTATGTTACACTGTAACAACAATGCATATATAATGCCCAGCCCCTGACTCTGGAAATCATTAATCTGTTCTTTCTTTTCATTAATTCTGACGTTTCAACAACACTTCAGAAATGTAACCATACAGTAAGTGACCTTTAAAGACTCATTTTTTTCATTTACTATATGTCCCGAGGCTCATCTAAATTATATAGATATTAGTAATATGTTCCTTTCCACTACAGAGTAGTATTCCATGGTAGGAATGGTTTGTTTAGACATTTACCCACTGCAGAACATTTGGGTTACTTCTAATTTACAGCTATCACAGATAAAGTTGCCAAGAAAAAATTTGTAAAAGTTTTTGTGCCGAGGCAGTATGACAGCTGGCTCATGGTAAGTGTATGCTTAACTTTATAAAAATTTCCACTCTTCTACCCACTATCTGTATTTTACATTCCTGTCATTGTTTGCATTCTCCATAGTACTTAGCATTTTCACAATTTTCTCTTAGCAATTCTGATAAGTGTATACCATACCACACTGTAGTTTTAATTTGCATTTCCCAATGACTTATGAGGGTCAATATATATTCACATAATTACTTCTATTTACCCTCCTTAGTAAAAATGTGTCTTTTTTCATTTTCTACTGGTATTATTTTTGAGTTTTGAGCATATTATCTTTTCCATTGATCAGATATTACATGGTTTACCTTTCCTCTTCTTAAGATTTTGTGGAATAAAAGTGTTAATTTTGATGCAGTCCAAATATCTACTCATTTTCTTATAGATGGTGCCTTTTGAGTTGAAGATTAATACCTGACTCCTAAAAAATTTTTAAATGATTTTTTCCCTTAAGTTTCCAGCTTACATTAAAATTCATGACACATTTTGAGGTACTTTTATAAGATATTTTGTTAATTTGTGAAAATTTAATTTGTTGAAATGACTGTCCTTTCTTCTTGATCATTTAAGCATATTATTGTGTGTTTATTTCTGAATTTTCTTTCCTGTTCCATTGATTTATACATCTCTTCTGCGAATATCATAGCGTCTTGATTACTGCAGCTATATAGTAAGTCTTGAAGTTAAATAATGTGGGCCCTCCACCTTTATATTATTCAAAATTGATTTAGTTTAATAAATTGTGCACCCAGTATTTTCATATGCCCTATAAAAAAGAAAATGAATAAAGAACAATTATGGTGGAAGGAAATTAGAGAAAATACAGCATTTACATCCATATGCCCTAAGAATATTTGTTTTCAAATATAAGTATGCCCCAGAATCAGCTGAGTAGGTCATATAGATTTCTGGGTTCTAGCCTCAAAGATTGAATTTGAACTTTGAACTGCAAGTGATTCTGATGCAAGTATTTCTGGGATTTTGAAAAACAATAATCTATGGGAAAATAAAAAGACAAACCAAAACCCCCAGTTATCACTATGGTTGGGACTGATAATGTTTTCTTTCCTTATACTCATTTTTCCAATTCCCACTTCAGTTTCCAGTATGCAAAAGGCTCAACATTTTTCTGAATACACAAATATACAATTAGTGGCTACATATGAATGAATAATAAAATACAATCATCATATTTTTTTTTTTGAAGTATGATTTCTACTATAACCTAAATCCAAAAAAATCATGGTCATATTATAATTGAATCTTAGATATACAGGATCAGTAAGAATTTGCTTTAGACTCAAATAAGCTAGAACTCAATTGTTTGCTTAAGAGTGCATCCACACAGAATTCAAGTTTAGCTATCCCATAACATGTATTTAGAGATCAAGAAGGAAGTCCTAACACATGATTCTAAGTGAGAATAATCAACAGAGGTGGGTAGCGATAAGCCCTGCATGTCTTTACATTAACCCTACAGTACTTATGATTCACTTGCCTAACACGAATATCATACTATAAAATGAAATACCAAGTGTTCTTCCTTTAAATTATACAGGATGGATATCTGAAAATAAAAACAAAGACTTAAAATTCTAAAAAGTTTATGTTGCTGGTGCACATCTTTAATTCAGAGGGAAGTGGATCTTTGTGAGTCCCAGACGTGCCACAGCTACATAATGAGACATTGTCTCAAAAAAAAAAAAACTTTATGTCAGGTATTTTCATTGAGAATAGGCATTTAATGCCAAGCATGGTAGGTGGTGCACATCTTTATTCCCAGCACTACAGAGGAAGAGGCAGGTGGATCTCTGCGTTTGAGGGCAGCTTAGTGAGGTATGCATAGTGAGTTCCAGGACAAATAGGGATGCATATTGACACTTCAGCTCAAAATTAGAATAAATGTTCTTAACATTTAGAATAAACTTATCAAATATTTTATTCCCAGATATTCCTTGCTAATGCATCTCTTATAACCCTTACAAAATAACTTTCATATTCTGTGAATCATCTTGCATGTTTTCTTTTACAGCAACTGTAGGCAAGAGGATTCTATACGCTCTGGAAAAGTTTTAGGAAGACATCTTGTATTTTTATATACATAAAACTATCTGTTGGGATATAAAAAGTGCTCCTGAATTATCTGCCTACATAGGAGTTGTATATAGTTTTGAACCATATTCAGTGCACAAACTGAGAAACAATATTATCACATTTTTGTCCTCTTGCTTTATTCTAGGGAAGACAACTCTTCCATAAGCTCTTCTTTTTCTTGTTGCAACTCCTGCAAATGCTGCTGGTTTTGCTCCAATCTGTCCTCCAACCACTGTAGTAGAGGCCCACTGACTGCTGACATCTGACTGCATAAATTCTTGGTAAACACTTCAATAAGAAAAGAAAAAACATAATTATAAGATAACTATAAAAAGAACTATACACTGGCATGTTCCTACTATACTACCAACAATATCTTAGTTTTGGGCACAGAACAAAAGGGCTTGAAGAAACAAGTTTCTAAAGTACTAAACTAAAGTTCTAAAGTAGAACTGGTAAATGATTTCCAGTAGTCAACAAGGGGGAAAAGAGCTGAGCAAAGCAGGTACATATTCTGAAGCCCTAGATCCATAAGCCAAAAAGAAATCTATGTAAAAAAATAAAATTAAATTTGAAAAAGGAAAAAGATGGCTAGCTCTTCATTTCTTCATATTAAAGGGCTAAGAAAGCACAGAAGGGTTCCTGTCTCCAGCAGGACTCTACTGTTTCCTCAAATGGAACAGAATTAAGTCCACAGAATCCAAGCTTGTCTCTTCTGATCAGCACTTTAGGCTTGTGCCTAGAAGGTTATCTAGCAGGGAAAGAGTACTTAAATGGCTTTTTGGATGAATAAACAGATGAATGATGATATTTAGTGACTAACCTACCTCTCACTAATTTCAAAGTATCAATTAAATATGAATTCTTTCATATATATGCACCTGTCTTTAGGCACTGCCCAGGTACATTGATCAGTCTGATTACTTTTGAGATGTTAGTATATTTTTTAAATTATTGTGATTTTAGAATATGGTTATATACCAACATTACCAATCTTAACTCTTTGCCATGTTTTACTGAGATATAAATAATCCAAAAGCTTCCCTTTTGGTTTTCACAAAGAAATTATCTACCAATCAGAAACCTTTTATGATTGTTGCAGTGTATACATTTAAGCCCAGCACTTGAGAACATAGTAGTCTACATCTTGAGTTCCAGAACAGCCAAGGCTACATAGAAAGACCCTGACTCAAAATAAACAAATAAATACATAAAATAGAAAAGAAAGCATTCCAATGTTCTTCACCAGCAATTTAGTTCATAAATGTTTTGTTGTTGTTTGTTTTAGTTTTTTTTAAGTCACTCAGTAGCCAGGTTTTATTCTGGATCTCAGTGTAAACTTGTCTGGCCTCCAACTTATGGCAGCCCTCTTGCTTCTGCCTCACCAGAAATGGCACTACAGACATGCAACGCCCTACTCTGTTTTGTCATTAAGTAGGAAAATCTGGGTTAGCTGAATGATAGATGTAGCTAGAGGTACGTGTAAGTTGAAGAAAATAAATTGGTACATATATACTTATTTTTTGATCCTTCAACTTACCCAGGAATTCCTTCTCTATTTATTCACATGGAAAATATCCTGCCTGATGTATTCCCTTTCCTCTACCTGCTTGTCTCTGCTACAAGAATAAAATAGGTCGGTAGTAATGTGATAAAACCAGTTCATAATGGCAGATTTCTAAAATTTCTGGAAGTTATTAAACATCCATGCTATGAAATACTATGGCAACTGGGATTCCCTAAGAGATAGTGTTTAAACATACCAGCACACTACTGAGCTAGTCTATAAAAAAAAAGCTTTTCTAGTTTTCCTTCTGTCTTATCATAAGACCACATTTATAGTATTTAAGTGTCTATAGGGTTTCAAGGAAATGTACGGAGCAAGATTAGTTAAATTTCTGGAGAAGGAAACTGAAAACTTTAAAGATGAATTAAAATTGCTTCTATAAAATGAGTATTTCAGAAATCGCTCCATATACTCCAGAGAAAAAAAAACTTACCCGAGCCATTATGGATCTTGGTTACTGAGTCCAGATGTGTAAGGCTAAAGGGATAAGGTACTTTAGGTTAGCAACAACGCAGAATCAAAATGGTCAGGTGTTTAACAAAATCATAACCTGCATTAGAACTTTGCCAATTTGATTAGATGATCTGAGTTCCCACCATGGTTAACTTTAAGTTTAATTTGGGAGATATGATTTATTAGAAAATTCAAAAGATAATTCAAAGACATAATTATGAAACTACTATCTCTTCTAAAGCTCTTGATACATTACACGTTTAGTAAATATGGCCCAGTAATACACAGTGGGATCACTAGGATGTTGTGGTTTCTTTTCACAACCAGAAAAGGAAATGTGTTTTGTCTTGAAGGATCCAAAATATATGAGGCAAGATAGTAAAGAGATCATTATAATACAGTGTGAGAAACATGATTTGAAGCTGCTGTAAAGCTCTCTCCCAGACAGGTAAAAGGAAAGGGGCCTCAAAAGCTGAGCTGCTAAAGATAAAGGGTCTTCACTGAAGTTAACAACAGAAACACTGAAGAAGTGTTACCTATGAATCCTTCTATATGCATCCTGTTCTTCCTGACATAGGATCTTTGGCAGTTCTACTGCTGATTCAAGGCATACCTTCCCAATAGTGATATGAGGTACAATATGGATTGGGATTTCAATTCTCTCATACCTGTAAGACAACCAATTAAGATCACATTTTATCCTTTAATTAAAATAAGTTATTTACACTTTAATGAGTTTGGAATATGGAATGCTTCAAATATTACATATTACTATAATTCATTAAGTTACTCAATTTGAAAGTAGACAGAGTTCAAATTAGGCTTTTCTGGAGAGCAAATTAGAAGTCTATTTGTGCACTCATTATTCTCTAGTCCCTTAGAGATTATGAATCCAGTTCTGTAAATTTAACATAAGCCTTTAGGAACTCAAAATCAATATGACCAACTGTTTAAATAAAAGAAACAACTAATACTGCTTTTAGTCAAAAAGTTGCATGAATCTGAATAAACTGACTCAAATGCAGATACTTCAGTGACAATATCAGATTCATTTTGTAGATGGAATTACTCACATAAATATCATTCCTCAATTTTTATTCTCTTCTATGGATAAAACTAGGTAAGATATTTACACATACTTCCATTTCATGGTAGAATGGAAGGTACAGACAGGTTTGTCTAAGTTCAGTCAAGTTCCTTGTATATATTTCTCATTCCCAATATGCTTAAAGTCTACATTAACAGTGGGGTCAGAGGATGATCCAGTCTGGGGACCCTCTACATTATGAAATCCATGGATACATGGCAGTAAAGTAGAATAAGATCTAGTTTTCTGCTCCCTTCTCTTCCTATCCACTAAAAGTGTCTTTTGGTCCTATATCATGATTTAGATGAAACATACAAGAAATTACAACTATCTTTCTTTTATCCATATTCACATAATTAGGGGAGAGTTAATGAAACAACATACAATAGTAGCCTTTGGGGAGTAAAATACAGTGATTAATATTAATGATGGGTCCAGAAACACTAAAGAAGTCAGTAGGCTACTCTTAGTTCTCTTAACAAGGTTTCCAATTAAATTTTCTGGGTGTATAAGCAGAAATGGTCTCAACAGTATACAATATGGAACATACATTTCCATAAATTCATGAAAGAAACTGCAGAGTTTCTGTCAGTTGACTAAAATTTAAAACCTAGAACCAGGATAAAACCGTAAGTATCTAAAGCTAATGACAGAGATTCTGCCTCTGATAATAAACTAGTTTTTATAACAAGTTTTCCTACTAAAAACAATTAAAACACATTAAAGAAAAATCTGTCTGACAGTAGTCACTGGAGAGCTGCCAAGACAATAAGTAATGGGACCAACAGGGAGAAAATTTCAGAGGTGATTCTCACAGATCCAATTTTCCCAGAAAAGTATGATTCTAAACAAGGAAATTTATAGGATTAGAAGTTGCAAATAGTTTCAAAAGTACTGGTGAGTTCAGGATGACAAAATTATAGCTGAGAAAATGCAAGGGTAGAGAAGACCTGTAAACTATTCTCAGGCATATGATGGTAAACATACTAGGAACAAAAATAGAACTCCATCAGTATACTGACTGGTTTTGTGTGTCAATTTGACACAAGCTAGAGTCATCATGGAAGAAGGCACTCCCAGTTATGGGAACGCCTCCGTGAGATTCAGCTGTAAGTCATTTTCTCAATTAGTGATCAATAGAGGAGGTGAGTGGTGCTATTCCTAGGGTGGAGGTCCCGTTCTATAAGAAAGCAGGCTGAGCAAGCCAGGAGGAGGAAGCCAGCAGCACTCCTCCATGTCCTCTGCAACAGCTCCTGCCTTAGGTGATGCGGAATTCTCCTCTGTATGCTGTGAATATGTTTTTTTTTTCCATTGGTTAATAAAGAAACTGATTTGGCCTATGGCAGGGCAGAATAAAGCAAGGTGGAAAATCCAAGGAGAAAGAGGACAAAAGAAGTTTGAGTCATGCAAGCACCATGTAGCTGCTGAAGGAGAAAGACGGCAGAACCTTACCGTTCCAGGAAGTCATAGCCTAGTGGTGATACACAGATTAATAGAAATGGGTTAAGATGTAAGCGCTAGCTAGGAATATGTCTGAGCCATTGGCCAAATAGTGTTGTAATTAATACAGTTTTTGTATGGGTGGCTGAAAAATTAAATTGCAGTCTCTGATAAAACTTAGGATCCTGCCCTGTTTGAGTTACTATCCTGATTTCCTCCAATGATGGACTATGATCTGGAAGAGTAAGCCAAATAAACTCTTTCCTCCCCAACTTGCTTTTTGGTCATGGTGTTTTGTTACAGCAATAAAAACCCTACCTGAGACAACTATATAGGAACTAAAAGCCTAGACTTGACTTATCCCAATTCCTAACTAAATACAGAGTGATCTAGTAGTTATATTAGCTAGAATTTAGAAAGCCACCCAAACCTTCACTATAACGAAAAATATCAAATAATGAGATATAAAGGAAAAATATCTATTAACTGTGAAAATAAAAGTAATTTCAAATAAATTATGTTCTAGAAAGAAACAATGAATAGATTATGAGTAGAGATCAGTGACCACTCTTTCATTTGAGAAAGAGAAAAAGTACATGATAGGCTTTGCCTAAAACTTAACTTTGCTACAAGTAAGGAGAAATGAAGAAGGCATGTAATTATATAAGAGTATTGCTAGACTGAAAAATATAGAAACCTTAAGCATAGAATTAATTCAACTCCATCATCAAATTTAAACCACAAGCTTTGCTAAGAACATAGAGAATGAGATTTGAGCTGAAAAGCAGAGAAATCTTCAGCATTTTATATTTCTTAAATCTAAAACTCATGCTATACATGGAAAATGTGATGACCATTGGGCAGATGTCATCCTGTGCTCATATCCCAGCAATAAAGAGAGAAAGGAAGAGAAAGAGAGAGAAGAAATAAAAAGAAAGGAAAAAAGGAATTTAAAAAAATGAAGTAGGAATATAGTTCTGACCCAAATAACTTCTGAATGGATGGAAATTATAAGTGTTAAAATTTATATAATGAACTAATTCTCTTTTAAAAAATTTAGACAGGGCCTCTCGATATAGTTCAAACAGACCTGAATCTCACTTAGTATCTCAGGTTGGTCTGAAACTTGTGATCTTTCTTTCTCAGACTTCCTAGTGCTGGGATTATAGGCTTGCATTATCATACCTGGTTCTTATCTATTCTCAAATGTACATGGAATGCTCTCCCCAGGATAGACCACATGCAAAATTTAAAAGTAATTTTTTTCTGATTATAGCATAGGAAACTAGAAATGAATGGCATAAGGAAAAGTAGAAAATCCATAGATGAATAAGTTAAACAAGATACTCTTAAACAACAAATGGGTTAAAAAAACTCATAAGAGAAATTAGAAGAAAACCTGAAACAACTGACAATGAAAACAATCTATTATGAAATGAAGCAAAAATAATATGCTGAAGAAAGTTAACCCATTATTTATAGCCATGAACACTGAAAAAGAATTAACAGGGAAAGATGGCTTAGTGGGTAAAGGTATTTGTTGCACAAGCATAATGACCTGAATCAGATTTCCAGGACCCAAACAGTAGATGGAGAACTGCAGAAAGTTGTTCTCTAACCCTGACATGTATACCATGGTATAGCACACCTCCACATATAATAAATATGTGCATGCAAAACACAAACATGCAGATAAATCCATAGCAACAGCGTTTTCCAGCCTCAACTTCACTATCAGTCATAGGTATTCTGAGTCTGAGGTAGCAGACATAAGATCTGCATAGGATCAAAATGTACAAAAGCATTAAAACCCAAAACAGAGAAATCTGGTGTGTTAATTACTTTTGTGGCAAGTATGTAACACCAATCTGTCACTAACAGTAAGAAACTGATTTCCAATAAAGCTCATGCCTGGCCTCATGGCGCATAGGGAGGAATGGGCTGACAAGAAAGGAAGAGTAAAGTACTAGAGTTTGTATATTCCAAAATGCACAGGAAATACAAACAAAGATTGCAGAGTTGAACCTGTAACTCTAATGAAAAAAATAACACAAACATGTACATATGTGTGATAAATATTTTTTAAAGTTGGGCATGGTGGCTCACGCCTTTAATCGCACTTAGGAGACAGAGGCAGGTGGATGTCTTTGAGTTCAAGGCCAGCCTGGTCTACAGAGTGAGTTCCAGGACAGTCAGGGGTACACAGAGAAACCCTACACCAAAAGCCCAAAACAAACAAACAAACAAATAAATGTTAGGCAGTGGTGGTGTGTACCTTTAAGCCCAGTATTCAGGAGGAAGAGGCAGGAGGATCTCGGTGAGTTTGAGGCCAGCCTGGTCTACAGAATGAGTTCCAGGACAGTGGGGGGTACAACAGTGAAACCCTGTACCAAAAAGCCTAAACAAACAAATAAAATGAATGAATGCCAGGCGGTAGTTGTGCATGATTTTAATCCCAGCACTTAGGAGGCAGGAGGATCAAACTAAAGATGCTAAGCTTAATAGCCTTGGTCCACATGCTGGGACTTTAAGTATGAGCCACCACACTCAGCTCAGCAAGGTTAACCTCTAATTACAAAAATATTAATAACAAAACATAAATAAATAAGACAAAAAAAGTTTAAGTGCTCACTTTGGCAGCACATATACTAAATACAGAGATTAGCATGGTCCCTGAACAAGGGTGACATACAAACTCATGAAGTGTTCCATAGTTACAAAAAAATAAATAAATAAAAGATAATAATTACCCATACGCTCATAATTATGGGGTAGCAGAGTCGCTAATATTTATGAAACACTACTATGTGCCAAATATAAATATGGAAAATATTTTGTCTGCATTAAGTCTCACAACAGGCACGCAATATCACTTCCGTCTTATTTATTAATCTATTATTTTTTACTTTTAAAGTTTTTTTTTATGTATCTGAGTGTTTTTGGCTACACGTATGTCTCTTCACAGTATATTTGGTACCCAAAGTGGTCATAAGAGGACATCAGACCCCCTGGAACTGGGGTAGCAAAAGATTGTGAGCCATTGTGTAGGTGTTGAAAACTGAGCCTAGGGACTCTACAAAAGCAGCAAGTGCTCTTAACCATTGATACACTTCTCCAGCCCATTACCTCTTTTTACAAATA